TTTTTGTTATTTTTTTCCTTCGCTTTTCCCGAGATTTCTCTGCGCATTATTTTAGTATCCTTTTTTTTTTTTGTCTAATTCTCCATCTCTTCACAATTTTTTTCTCCTTTATTGCAGCTGGCGATGGCGGATCACGGCAAGCCCAAATCGGAAATTTCGTTCGCCGGAACTTTTGCCAGTAGTGCTTTTGCAGCTTGCTTCGCCGAGGTATACATATTGTTTTTTTTTTCTTTCCCAGTCGGTAGTTTTCAGTGTAGCTGCGGCTTTTGATGCTGTGTTTGTTCTGTTATGCACATCGGAGTAGTGATATCGTAGTTTTGTCCTGTTATGGCGGTGAATTCGTCTGTATGATGTGATTTTGGTTGGGAAAGTTTACTTGCTGGCTCGTTTTGATACTGTTCTAGCTTTTGAATGATGTGATTTTGGTTGTACTCGATCGTGTTGAACTGCTGTTAGCAGCTGAACATTGTCCTGTGTTTGTTTGAATTTGTTTCCGCTTTTCTGGTACATCAGACAACAAGTTATGTTTATAATTCAATGTGTTATGTGTATCTGGTGTTAGTCGATCCATTGCTTGTCGAAGTTAGTGATGGTTCAGATTGGCATGTCATGTTCTTTCAAATTGGTCTGTTTAGATTCAAGGTTGATTTAGTTTGAAAAGTTGATTTGCTGACATTGGATCTACAGTTCCGGTATTGTACAGTTATGTAGTTGTACTCGAGCATCTCAAATACTAAAGGTGTGAATGGTTTCTATACTCGATAAGCTTGATGTTTGGTATGTTATTTCCTTGAAGTTCAAGAAAATTCTGGATGCGTTTGATTCTGAAATTTCGATGTGCATATTTGATTTAGAATTGAATGCTCATACACACATAGAGCTTGTTTAGAAACTCATGCTATATCCAAAATTTATGGTACTTACTTGTTTAATAGGCAAAAATTTCTATGTCCATGTAGATCTGTACTATTCCATTGGATACCGCCAAAGTTCGTCTGCAGTTGCAGAAGAAAGCAGTTGCCGGAGATGGTTTGGGTTTGCCTAAATATAGGGGATTGTTAGGAACAGTTGGTACTATAGCTAGGGAAGAAGGGCTGTCTGCACTGTGGAAGGGTATTGTGCCAGGATTACACCGTCAATGTTTGTTCGGAGGTTTAAGGATTGGATTATACGAGCCCGTATGTTTTCTCCTGTTTGCGGTTGTTTGATTTTTTGATTTATTGTGTTTTGCACTTACTGTGTGCGTACCTCAATAGGTTAAAACCTTCTATGTGGGAAAAGATCATGTTGGAGATGTTCCACTGTCAAAGAAAATCCTCGCTGCCCTCACGACTGGTGAGAGCCATGTATGATTTTTTTTATTCTTTTTCCATTTCGTGGTTTAGAAAACCAATACTCGAAAATTTGGTATCATTAGGTGGTCTGGCAATTGCTGTTGCAAACCCAACTGATCTAGTTAAAGTAAGACTTCAAGCTGAGGGGAAACTACCACCTGGTGTGCCTAGGCGTTATTCGGGGGCACTGAATGCTTATTCTACGATTGTTAGACAGGTCTGCCTGTGAACCGTGTTTTCACTTCATTGTCATGGCACTTCTCCATTTCATTTAAGTTGATAATGTGGTTTGATAGTTCTCGATTTTAATTTCCCATTTGAAAATGTAGGAAGGTGTTACAGCTTTGTGGACTGGACTAGGACCTAACATCATGCGAAATGCAATTATAAATGCTGCTGAGCTAGCCAGTTATGATCAAGTGAAGCAGGTCTGGCCTGTTAACATCTCTATTGGCTTTATGTTTGCTTGTCATCTATTGTTAATCACTTAATCTACTTGTTTTTGTCTTGTGTTTGACCTTTTTCTTTTCAAAATTCGAATGTTTTTTAATATGATGCAGACGATCCTGAAAATCCCTGGATTTTCGGATAACGTTTTCACCCATCTCTTAGCTGGTTTAGGAGCAGGTTTCTTTGCAGTCTGCATAGGCTCGCCGGTTGATGTGGTATGAAACCTACATCTTGGAATAAATCCCATTTGGGTTCGAACATGAAGATTTACTGATGTGACACGAATTTTACTTATTTTATCTTTGATGCAAATTCAGGTAAAGACATGGAACTAACTTCGGTTTTGCTCTTTCCTTGCAGGTTAAATCGAGGATGATGGGTGATTCGGCTTACAAAAGCACACTTGATTGTTTTGTCAAGACTTTGAAAAATGATGTAAGTTCAAGGATGAGATTGCCAAAGTGCTAGATTACTGTAGGGGAAGTTGGTGCCGAAGTCCCTCTGCTTATAATATATCTGAAATGTCGTCTCTACTTCATTTCTTTTCTGTTTATTAGTTTTCCTTTTATAGTCTTCATACTTGTTCCGCCTTTATGTAGCAAATGACTTCAGAAGCTTAAATGTTCAAAAAGTTTCCATTTGAAAAGTTCACCACTTGTATTTGTTCTAAGGTAGTTGTTTATATCATGGCACTGTTTGCAGGGACCTTTAGCATTCTACAAAGGATTTATTCCCAACTTTGGACGGCTAGGTTCTTGGAATGTGATCATGTTTTTGACGTTAGAGCAGGTATTAATTGATCTGTTAAAACCGTTTTAACTCATTTCTGAATCTTTCTCGTCCATTTTCTATCTGTTAAAACCGTTTTAACTCATTTGTGAATCTTTCTCGTTCATTTTCTGTCAGCCCCAAAGCACGGGATTCATTTGACCAGATTTTTTCTGCTTGTTCAATTGCAGGCTAAAAAATTTGTCAGAAATTTAGAGTCTTAAAGCTAATGAAGAGGTTTGCAGGTGTATGTTTCATTAAGAGGAAGCAATGCCTATCCTCTTCCATATTTTTTTCCCAAATTGTTGACGATGAATAATGTAAACCAATTTTTTTACCAAATTGTTGACGATGAATAATGTAAACCGTGCCATGGGGAACAATTATCGTTTCTTGTACTTTCGGAATTCCTGCTCTTCAAGTGTATGAATACGATTGATTTTTCTTTGTGATTGCTGCTGGCAATGGCATCAGATCCAAATTGGCAATGAAAGTGAAGCCAGCAGAAAACTTACTATTAAGTATTGTTTGGTTGGAAGTTTTGGTTTGGGCTTATATTAAAGGGTTGAACTTGAAGGCCACTTAAATGATTCATCAGTCAAATTTCTCTAATTGGATTGTCAGATAACCAAAGTTTTTAATCAACTTTTTCTTGGTCAAGTTTGGAAAAATTGGGAAGTAAACATCTGTGTTAGATATATTGAAGAGATTAGCTCAAATGATGTTTTTTATCTCCTATATTATTGAAAATTACATTGTCAGCTATCAATTTCAACTACTTAATAAATAGTTGTATACAATCCTGTGATTAAATGTAGGCAAATTGGATATATGTGAGAAAGGTGTATATTACCAGGTATCTCTTGAACCTATATCACCAGAATTCACAAACCTAAAATAACTTTGAATAAGAACATGCCGAAAAATTAACCAAACGAAACAAAAAATCTAAACCTAAGAACAATATGTTAGTCAACATCACACAAATGTGGCTTCAGACGAGTAGGTCGTAATGGTTTCTTCCAGTGTAGAGTAGTCGCACGGCACTTCGAGGCTTTTCATTCTTAGAAGCTTTACGAAATTCAGACCCATATTCTTGAATAGGTATGAAACCGGACCCCAATCCACCATGCTGCAAAGTTCAATAAAACCGAATTGTCGATAAATCACAAGATAAAACTTTAGTTGTACATCACGCCTGATTGTTCTCATGATTATTAATCGAGAACTGAACAAACTCTGAAAGAATCGAAAAAATAAACCAGATTTTAAGTGCTGTGTGTAGATGACAGCTTCTTCATTTGATCGAAATTGAAATTGTGCTTTTGCAATTACATAAATATCTAAAAAATACCTCTTGTTCTGGAATGTATACAACTATTGGCTGACGACACAACTTTGAGAGGACCTAATAATATTAGAAGACATCAGTAATTAGCAACAGCAATAGAAGGAAAAAAAAAAAAAAAA